GTTGGTGGGGGCGAGGGGTTAGGGGATGCCACGGAGGAAAGCTCGGTTGGGTTGCGGGAAGCCAGGTTCTGCACGGGGGAATAAATAACTAAACGAAACCCCAAAAAGCCCTTTGCAAATACGTCATTCCAATGTTTAGTTTGGCGGAAAAACGTTTCATTTCTCAGGGGTGTTTTTAAACTTGTTTTAAAGTGCTTTTTCTCGCTGATTTTCCACTTTCAGGTTATTTGTGAAAGGAGGAATTACTGTCTGTGGGAGAAATTAAGAAAAAAAAAAACCAAACCACCACAAATCGCCCCACGACCGGGCACGGGGCACGGGGCAGTATGGGCAACGGTGCCCGGGGATGGCCAAGATGATGCCGAACGGAGCAATTTGGTGCCAGATCCAGCGCTGAGCCCGAGGTTGCACCAGATGGGGCATTGCTTCGGGGCAAAGTGCCTGACTTTGGGACCGGAGCAGTTGGTTTTACTCCCTTTTTTTGGGGGGCATTAGCCCTTCTGTCGCATGTGGGACTCTGGGTACCACCACGATGCAGATGCCCCAACAGCATCCAAAGCACCGGAGCTGCTTTGAATGACACGAGTTTCCTTGGACTTGGCTCACAGCCGGGCCAAAATCATGTTACCCTCTCGGCTGCGCTTGCCAGGGCATCCAGTGATGGGGCTTGGGGGGCTGCGTTGGGCTTCCCACGGTGGGGAAAGGCTCCCGCCCTGAAAGTCTGCGCTGAATCCTGCTGGGTCTGCAGCAAAACTGCCTCCGCTGCCCCCGAGAGCAGGGCCAGGGGAGGGGACAAGTGGGACAAGGAGAGGGGACAGGTGGGACAGGGAGATGGGGATGAGTAGGAGAAGGAGAGGGGACGAATGGTACCGGGAGACCAACAGGACCAGGAGAGGGAAACAAATGAGGCCAGGAGTTGGGGACAAGCGTGACCAAGAGAGGGGACCAGTGGGACCAGGAGCTGGGGACGAGAAGAAACAAGAGAGGGGAAAAATGCGACCAAAAGATAGAACAAGTGGGGTCAGGAGACAGGGACAAGTGGAACCAGGAGATGGAGACAAATTGGACCAGAAGAGACCAGTGGGACAAGGGTACAAGGACCAGTGGGACCAGGGGACAAGGACAAGCAGGACCAAGAGATGGAGACAAGTTGGACCAGGAGCAGGGACTGGTAGGACCAGGGGACAAGGACAAGTGGGACCAGGAGACAAGGACAAGTCTTTGGGCTGGGGATAAGTGGGAGCAGGAGACAAGTGGGACAAGAAGAGGGGACCAGAACCAGGAGACGGAGACAAGTGTGACCAGGAGAGGGGACCAGGACAGGGGCCCCCATGCTCTTCCAATGCCGGGTAGTTTGTTGGGGCTCAAGATGAGCTGAGAGCAGCCCCAGGGCTGCTGTAACGCCCTGCGACCTACTGCAAGGAGGGGGACACCTCCCCGGCCCCCCCACCCCCCCATCTCATTTCCCCAGTGTTCCCAAGGCTCAGCATAAAGCCCCAAGGGATTTTTGCGAAGGCACTT